AAACAAAACAAAACCGTCGAGACGAGACACGATTGTCCTGAGACATAAAAAAAAGAAAAAGGGAGAAAGAAAAAAGAAAAAAAAAGGATGAATAGGGGAGGATAATCTATATTAAAAAAAAGGAAAGAAAGAAGAAAAGAAAAGGAAAGGAAAGGAAAGGAAAAGGGAAGAGGAAAATGGGAAGGGAAGGAAACGCAGAAGGAAAGAATAAGGGAAAAATAAATATACATATATGGACGAACGAGAGACACAGACGTTTTGATAAATTTATCTCGAGAAGATCGTCGTCGTACTAGCGAATCTTTTTCGGAAGAAAAAAAAAAAAAAAAAAAAAATAAAAAAAGGAAAAGTAATATACAACGGACACGCTCGTCAAAATTTCTTAACGAATCCTTCCGTACCCTATTACCTTAAATTTCTAACGAGGCATCATCGATCTTCTCGTAAAATTCCTACGTCGCGTCTTCCTTAACCTGTTAACGCTATACTTTTAACGAGTATACTCATCACAAAGGGATAACAATTTTTTTATGTTACGACGAGTATGTACAGAGAAAAAAAAATTGCCGACTCTTCATGACGAGTATTTATTATCACGTTGTTTTATTGTTTCAATATATATATATATATATATATATATATATATATATATATATATATATATATATTTCTGAAGTGATCTGAATAATCCTACATATATATTCTGAAATGTCATAATTTTATGAATAATTCGTAATTTTAACTCGAACAACAAAATGAATAATTTATTTTTTTTCAAATGACGAGTGTACTCGTCATTACGTAAAAAAAAAGAAAAAAAAAAAAAGAGAGAAAAAAAGAGAAGAAAAAATTGTCACTTTTTCATGACGAGTATATTCGTCAAATACAACTCGACGGATTAATTTTCGTCAAAATAATTTTCGTCAGATTTTTTATAAAAATCAATTGCCATTTCATTATAATTTAATTCGATTTTGTATAAGTTTTCATATACTCTGTGTTTGACGAGTATATTAATCGTCCCTTAAATTTTGTTATACAATGTAAATATACATTTTTAAAACAAATCTATACAGTTAACAGGTTAAGTCTCAAGGGAGGAAACGAAGCGAATAAGGTAGAGAAAGAGAGAGCGAGAGAGCGAGAGAGAGAGAGAGAGCGAGAGAGAGAGAGAGAGAGAGAGAGAAAGAGAGAGAGAGAGAAAGACGACGCGCTGTACTCCAGCAGTCTCGGGACCCTATTTATGTTTTATATATTATATTATATATATTATATATATAAATATGTGTATAAACATTTTTAATTTATTTATTTAATTCATTAATTTTATTGATTTACTATTAAACGTCATCTCCACCTCGGCAATCGCCTTTTGTTCTTCATATCTTACGTTCTCCTTCATAGCACTTACGTATATTTTATTCTATCTTCGATTTTGTTCTATTCTTCTTATTTCGATTTCAATGAGTGTAAAGAAAGAAAAGAAAAAGAAAAAAAAAAAAAAAAAAAAGAAAAAAGAAAGATAAAGGTAGGTACAGTTATTATTTTTTGTTTCAATTTTATTATTTCCTTTCTATTTCCTTTTATTTTCCTTTCGTATTAATTTTCTTAATTTTTAATTTTCATTTCATCGAAAAAATTGATTTCTGAATACATTATATATTATATATTATATATTATATATTATATAATATCGAATATCATGGAATTAAAAAAAAAAAAGAAAAAAAAGAAAAAAAAAAAAGAAAAACTAACGTAAAGTAACGTACGCTTTTCAATGGATATAAAGGCAAAAGAAAAAAGTGTTATGCTATCAGACTAATTACGAAACGTATAGCATTTACTATATATGCATTTCCTCTTTTAATTATTAACAATTTTTTAAAAGATACCATCTAGTTTATTTTGTACGACAGAAGGAGGGATACATTGAAGAGAAAAATTTATAACCAAAGTAAAAATATCTATACGTACATATACATATACATATATATATATATATATATATATATATGTATATATGTATATATACTGCGATGACGAGGTAAGATGCAAAGCAAACGTCTTCTACGTCTACTTCGTCGATGGGCATAATATACGTATATGTACGATGGAAGAAGAAAAATTTCTCGAACGATATCAGGAAACGCTCTCCCGACATATCAATTTTCGCATTTTAGAGGATGACGACCGAAAGCGACGGTAACGTCAAAGAAATGCAATACGTATGCGTTTCTCGTGCCTACGAGAAGAAACCGAGTGACGTTGTCTCTCGACAGTCTCTTATTGCATTCCGCGCGTGTCGTTTTAAAACACACAAGCTCACCACCTACGTCCTAAAGGAAATAGCTTTTCGCTAGTGCTCGAAGATACTTTTCCCTACCGTTTTAAACAAAAGTGGAGAGAAAAAAAAAACCAGCGAGAAAGAAACCAGAAAAAAGAAAAAAAAGAACAGAAAAGAGAAGAGGAAAGAGCGATAAGGTATGAGAAGATCGGTACATTTACTCAACGAAGAAGCATATATTTCTATATTGTCAAAGAACGAACGAATTTTTGTGAATATGAATACGGGGAGTAAAGAAAGGAAAAAACGAGCTAGAGAAAGGTAAAGGAAAAGAAGGATAGAGAAATGTTGAAAATAGATAGGAATGGGATAGAAAAAAAAACAGAAAAAAAAAAGAAAAATAAAGGGGAGGAAAAGAGTAAGAGAACCAAAAACCGAAAGAGCATAGAGAAAGGGGAAAATTCGCGAAGAGCATACTTGAATTTCTCGCTTGGCAAACGCGTACTCTGGGATGTTCCTCGTAAAAAGCTCCTCTTCGGTACCTACTCCATAAACCTCGAAGTACCGGTACATTCATTCTAGTAACCGCTTCTCTTAATCGAACTCCCTACCGCCGCTGGCGGAGTAGCTTTTCTCGAGATTGCGGCTCGCTTGGAAAACTTTCCGTGAAGAAGTCCACGAGGAAATTCGAATTCGACCTCGAAAACGCGCGCTTACCTTTTACGATCTTTCCTTAGGACACGCGGAAAGTTTATTTGAAATCTTTTGTATCTAACAAACATTTTCTTTCCCTAGATAAAGAAAGAGAGAGAAAGAGAGAGAGAGAGAGAGAGAGAGAGAGAAGGATAGAGAGTCTCATCGAAAAGAAGATTCAACGTCGTACTTGTTCAATATCACGACAAAAACTACCTACTTCTCCCATTAATCGTCTCGGTAATTATCGAAAAGAGATCAATCACTCGTACATTTTTCACGATCACGAATAAAAAGTAAAAAAAAAAAAGAAAAAAAAAAAAATAAAAAGAAGAAAGGAAGAAAAAAAAAAAGGAAATAACGAATGGATAATCCCAGAGAGATCGAAGCTATAGTTACATTGAAATCTTGCTTAGGAAGGAAGGAAGAAGATGGAGGAAGAGTAAAGGAAGAAGAAGAAGAAGAAGAAGGAGGAGGAGGAGGAGGAGAAGAAACGTACATGAGGGCATCGTTAGCTTTTACGATAGATGGTACGATCGAATCGCAATTACCCGCGTCATCCTATTCTAAGATTTTCACGATCGATTATAAAATTTTATTACCGATAAAACGATCGAATTACTGCCATAGAAATTCTTTATCATATATATTATCAACGATTAAATATTATCC